TTTTTTTTTCAGTGTATGAACGTATTAGATTTCTACTAACTCAATAGATACCTCTTGATCCGTTGTAAGTGGAGTGTACCCAGTCATTAAGAAATGTAAGCGAGGAGTCGGTATGAGTGGTGCAATCAAACCAACTAAATCATTGTTCATGTACGAAGGATATCTCAAAGTGGTTGTACTGACAGACATTATTGTTGAAACAAGCTTATTAATTTGCGTAAAGCTAGGATTCTGGATATGCAATCTATCCGAAGCGATTCTGTTGAGAGCAGTATTATCCAAGACCACCACGCAATCTGCACATTGAGTCAGCCTTTTCAAAGTTAACAATGAATTATATGGCTGTACTACGACATCGCTGTAACAAAAATATCATGTTTCATATACATCTACGTTATGTATAGAGAGAAGTTCGTAACACGGAAGACAAATCGTTACCTTATTTCATCTTGATTTGGAAAAACGCTGTACGTCTCAATCAGTTTTTTGGGAAATCTATCGGCGAGGGATTCCAACATGAAAGATCCCATGCCAGAACCTGTACCTCCCGCTATAGAATGACATAAAACAAAACCCTACGCAACATCCATGGTTTTTAAGAAAAGATGTCGTTAAAAAAATACGAATACGAACGAGGATATAAGAATATACGTACTTCTAAGCTGTCACTACCATCGGCTTCTCTGTCCAAAATATCAAAGATTTCTTCCTGCAATTTTTCACCCTGATGATATCCAGACGCCCAGTTATTTCCAGCACCGCCGCCATGTTTCGATAAATAGATATTTTCAGGGTTATACAGCTTATAACAAAGTAAAAAAGATTTTTAACTTTCACGGTCAAACGGTATACACAAGATATGCGTGACGTTATGTCGTACCTTTGAGTATGGAGAATTCATGATAGTGTGAATTACCCTCGGTTCCAGATCTAACAATACAGCTCGTGGTATATAATGTTCGTCATCTGACTGATAAAAAAAAACATCCTTTCTATCCATTCCCTCTGTCGCATAGTCTTCTAAAATTCCTTCCGGGCTAATACCATGCTCTGCGCATAGCCTCTTCCAAAATTCAAATCCGACTACAAAAATGAACAAAACATACAACGTGCACAGACACGATACACGGAATACATATACTCTGGTTACGCAAGCTTCCTGATAATTTTAAGTAATCTTGTATATAAAGCTACACGATATTTTTGAACTGTCTGAATCTCTGACTTGGATTATTCAAAGTAGCACAAATTAAAGTAAACCACATACGTATTAAGCTTATGTTACATTTATGCCGTACTGTTTTTGTCACGTTACATCACTCTTAAAATTTTTTAGCGTTCGTCAAACTTGAGAGAAATATCTATCTACAGCAAACAGGAACAAAATGTAGATATTTACTTTGATTGCCGCATTGACCGAGCTGCAAAGTTATCATCTCGCACGGCATTTTAACGTTTAAACAGCTTTTCGTCGAGAATCTAAATTGCTAAGAAGAAGGCGGAAGAAAGAAAATTCAAAAGTCGCGATTGTCAAGATATAAATCTTGATAATAGGTTATAGGTTATATATCGAATTTCGGATTTATATCGGATGAGATGAGTCGGTCACGAACCACTCTATGAAAGCAGAGAAGAGCCCGTATCAAACTATTGGATTGGGATTGAGATTGGATTAAACGTTGACCAATCGGAACACAAAGTTCACTAAACCTGGGGGTCAATCATAGCTGTGTTCCTTTGTTGATTTATAATAGCCGTAACCGTTGATTTAAGCCGTAATCTTTAAGAAATTGACCAATCACAGTCGAATGTGAGAAGAATAATCGACTGTGATTGGTCAATTTCTTAAAGATTACGGCTTAAATCAACG